AAAACTACAAATTATGGATACAATAGTCTTCGTTTAGAACAGTGATTTCTTAAGCCGCTCATCCACCATTACATGATAACTTTGAAGTTTTCGTCAAGTCCCCTCTCCAATCCCCTCCCATTCAATGCCAGCGTTATATCAACATAGAGCTGCAGTGATGCTTTTAGAAAATCTAGAAATTCTAGGAGTTGATGACTTTAGAGCGGTAAGTTACTACCCCAGGAGGCTTCACTTTGCTCCTTGTGAGAAAAAGTTTGCAGTTATTGAATACCTAACTCCTTCCTCCTACCTTTTGGATGATAAAAGAAAAGAACTCTAGAATTACTCAGCATAAAATTACGAGAAAAAGATTGGAAGACAGCGTGAGTTGTCTGGTGCTTTACAGTATTTGTTAGTCCAGTTCGACATTTCCCAAAAGACAACACAAAACAAACTAGTCATCCATTACCTTTTGGCCAGAGGTCACTAGAACAGGATGGACCATTAAAGGTTTTCCAAAATTGTTTATCACTTGAAATCTCCGCTCAACCGATAAGATCTTGATTCCCCGACACATTCGAGATGTGACGGTCCATCGAGCACCAAGAATTTCACCCGAACTCAAAACGAAAGCGATCGGAACAGACAGGCCTTCGTCGATATCGTTTGAGGAAGCCTCTTGGCTACTGGGTGTATCCGATGGAAGAGACACTGCTTCGGACCAACTGCAATCTTTGTTTCCAAAATAAGCACCAAACTTCACTTTTCCCTAAGTAAACAATTGATAGACAGTCAATTGGTCAATGGAGCAAAAAGAAAACAAAACAAAAAAAACAGTTACTCATCATTTCCATTACTTTTAAGCATTGATTAAAGGGCCTTAAAGTTTCTAACATGTGCCAAGAATAATTTAGAGCAAGAATAATTTCAAACTGGTTTGTGGCATATGTACAAATATTAGGTTTCAACTTGGTAAAGCTACCACTGTGTCGCGTAAAAAAAGGGACTTCCTTTCAACGTATACAGTTGAGTTTTGTGATTTGATCTGGAAACAACGACAATTAAAGTCGCAGATGGAATACGCCTGCAAGGATGCACACGTTTGAGAGCCGCGCGTAAAAAAAAAAACACACACACACAAAAACAAAAACAAAACAAAACAAAATGACGATAGCTCGTAATGCAATGTGGTTGGCTAGAGCGATTCATCACTTCTCAAAAACGATATGAGTTCTTATACCGTGATTCTGTGAGGCGCCAAGACTGAGCCACTCGGCAAATCTACATCAACGTCTCGTTCCAGATCCCTGATAATCACATGTGCTGCAACGTTGTTGACCAGCAGACACCATGGTAATACTTCCACCAACAGCGAGCTGAGATGGGGCCAGCGTTTTACCACACGGCACTGCACCTCAATAGCAGGGACTGAGGAAGGTTTTGCACGCATATCTATACAAAGCAATAAATAGCTGGTATCTGCATTACATTCTATAAAATCACGAGTAAGGGTGGGTATGAAGATGATTTCTAGAGCCATTTTGCTGCTAAACTTAAATTTTCGCATTCCGATCGGCAGTTTGCTTGTTTTACGTTTCTAACAAAGCATGACACCTATCCTATCACCCCGGTTGTAACAACTTTCTTATCTTGTAAAAACAAAGACAAGTCGCACGAATTACAAAACGAACATTTCTGACCTTGATAAGGTGTATCTATCTGGGTTGCCAAATGCTTTTTTTCCTCGTCCACGTGACCCCCAAGTGATACATTCTTCACCAGAGAAGACTCCGGTTTTTCCTCAGACAAAGTATCACAGCGCCTAAAAAAAGGAATAAAGAAAATGGTATATAGAGGAAATAATATTTTAAGGTTGCATTTTGGAAAATATGTTCAGCGCTATCAGGCAAGGAAAAGTCGTAATGCATACAATTGAAACTGCACGCGTTTTCGTCTTCAAGCGGCCTTCCTACCCTGAAGAAATTTACCTTCGAATGCGGAAAAAAGTCACTTTATTCCCCGGCATTTTAAATCCTGCTCAACAACCTGGCTGCTTACCTTTTCTTTAATATACAGTACCAGATAGAAAAAGAACTACAACAGTGTTTGCCTTTACCGAAAATACTGATGATATTTGCAGTACGGCCAAATATCAGCCAGCGGTCTGTCTTCCTCTCCAGCGTTGCTATTGTCCATTCTATTGGCTAATTCTATCAGTGTGGTATTCAGTGGCACAGAGGGACTGGACCATGTACTTGAGCCAGTAAATTGAAATGTCAGCTGATGCCACGAGTTCGGAACCAAGCTATACATATGTTGTTCACGTGCTCGGCCTTGCAGTTGAAGAACTGAGGCCGAGTTTGTATTGGCCGTGAGTACATTCATAAGGACTGGTTCGGGGAGATGGCTCCGCATAACAAACAGAGGAGATAGCGTCACCTAAACAGCATTGTTAATAAGATTACAGAAGAGAAGTGAAATCCTACAGTATTACAGAGCAAAATTCAAATCTATACCAGAGGAAAACCCTCATCTAACTTTTCCTTTTGGTAGAAAATTCTTACCACTTTTCCAAATGGAGAGCGCGCAGCGACACTTAAACGATTCAAAGACATGTATTCAAAATATAGAGAGAGGCGTACTGGTACCGTAAATTATTCCCCCCTCCCCACCTTTTTATAACTGTCCTTGCGGTTAATAAATTTCGGTCATAAAATGTTTTTAAAGCACGAAGGGCCACTGGAAAGCAAAAAACTTAATATACCATGTAAAACTTGCCAAGAAAGACTCAAAATGCAAAGAGCGAATCCTTTGCTTCTGTGTCGTCAGACAATGGCTTTTGTAGACATAACTGTGGTCTCGTGCTGACGAAATTTGGCGCTCACTAGTACACCCCCACTTATGGGATTATTTGACATCATACACCCAAAAAATTGAATCAGTCCTCGATTATTTCAATATCAAGCAAGAATGAAGTCCAACTGTAGTACAACAAGTCGCGTCTAGCCCACCAAAATCAAGATGCAGGCCAAAAGTAAAGAGAAATGGTTACCTTTATCTGATCAGGAGATCCAGGTTTCTCTAAGTTGTACCAGAAATAAAATGTCTGGAAATCTTTCACTCCGAGAAGCTGCAAAAACAAGTACACAGTTTTACGCCCAAGAAATATCATGTCAAGTTAAGTGCGCAGTTCTACCGTACCCACGTTCATATAAAGGCTTTTTTCAAGAACGACGTCAAAAAAAAAAAACGCAAAGGTATTAACAGTTAAAATTGACAACCGTAAGAAAATCGATTAAAGTAAAATCCTCTAAAAAATCAGAATCGATATGAGGTTCTTCACAGAAGTTCGTACAGGAAAGTTCGAGAGTTTTGGATGAAAAATGTAGAAAGTGAGGTACAAAAGCCCTCACGGAGATTTAAAATTAACTCATTTGCCTGCACGTTTCCTAAACTTTCAAACGGTAGATGCATCGTGATAAAACGTACGACAAAATATGTTTCCCAAGTGACCTCTAAGTCAGGGACGAAAAGCAGTCATGACTTGATTGACAGGTGTATTCGCCTTCAGCGCCACCTGTGATCTCCATGATTGGTTCAATAACAAACTCATAAACATAAATATGTCAAAATATACGGCCATGGTTACCTGCACAATACAATTATGCCGGTTACTCTCTTCATCACCACACTCCAACGGCAACGCCTCAGACCACGTGGTATCGTTAGGAATACGAATGCGCATGCCTGCGAGGCCGCCGTGGGAAATGACGTAAGATGGCAAAGCTGTGTTGGCTGGCAGGGAGACATCCTCAAGAACCTAAAATTGAGCAAAATGTATAAATTGTGGATTTTCGATACCCCTTTCAAAACCAAAGTAACTATAATGAGAATTATAATTTTTAGATACGCGAGGAAAGTTAGAAACTGCACCAAGATCAAGTTGACGATCTTTAAAATGATTAGAGATCCTTTTTAAGTTCACGATTTTCAGTTCATTTTAATCAACTCCATTGCTCATCGTTTCTCTTCCTTCTTGGTTCATTTTTGCCTCTTTGATGTTTTTTTTTATCCTAATGAACCTTCATGCCGTAGCTCCTTATCAGCTGAAGGGAGTTTAATACAGCGTTTAACCCTGAAGTAGCACTTTTGTTGAGTCTTTGTTTTTAAATTGCTTTCCTTCACCAATACCAACCTGAGCTATTCATTTTAGAGCGCTTTTCGATTTACTGTCGTAAAACCAAACCCAAAGTTATCACAACAGCCAATCAGAATAAAGGAATATACCCCAAAGAGCAAACGGGAACGCAAAGTAAAAAAAAAAACAACAAAAAACAACCAAACAACGTAAAAGGTGGGAAAATGCGACTGACGTCAGCTTTGAAACTCTTTACGGTGGCCAATTTACAATATCAACTGAGTTGATAAAACCAAAATTACTTTGTTACTTCCACCGACGCAGAACCACAGTTTCCCTAGAAACTACCCCCTTTTTCCATTCGTGATTAGGGTTAATTTCGTATCTGATTGGTTGAAAGAATGGCACAAGTTTTGTGGACCAATCACAAAGCAAAATAAAGCAAAACCAACGCAACCCCATATTACTTTCGACACTCGATTGAAAATTGCTCTATCACCTCTAATCTTATCAAAAGGACTTGGTGAGAGCGAATTGTTTACCTGGTAACGGGCCTTGGATGACTCTTCAGTGTTCAGGGAGGGGTTGGTAAGAATCTGCACGCCAACATCGATTGAGAGGCGACTGAAAATTATATGACTTCCGCGAATGATAATCTGTAAAAATTCCAAGAATAAAAAAAGCGTTGTGAAAAAAGCACATGGTTTGAAGCGCACGTAAGAAGTAAACGCCATTTCCATTTTTCATGCGTCTGTAAACAGTATCACGTCGCAACTGATAAATCAACAATAAACTTAACACAACCTAAACGTTGAAACGACTAAATATAATTTGGCGAAATACACTGAAAAGTTCAGTCTTAACCCAAAAGAGCAAGTCCTGAGGTTTATAAGCGGGACATCCTCTGAATATTAGCTTAGTGATGGAAAACGAAGCACACTATGTCAAACTTCAATCTTTTGGTCAACACTTTTGTGAAAATTGTTCGACAGCATTGAGGGAAGGATGGTTTGAGAGCGCTCTGAATAGAGCTCGTTGGAGTTAAGGAAAACACTACTCAGCCACCTTAACTTCAACATCATGGTTACCCTGCTTTCAATTGACTTACTTTATTGACGTAAGCCACAAAAGTATTACGCCATCGGCTCTAGCTACGCTCAGATCACGTGCTCAGATACACGTGATCAGATACACGTTTATCACATTCAAAGAATGTATGACGTAGGGAAAATGTAAGATGAAAATGTATACCTGACGAAATACACTGAAATCCATGCACGGGATCACTAATCAACTAATGACATCAGTACTTGGGGGTTAGGAAAGCACGGATAGTTAACGAGGGGGCGTATTTGCACCCACGTTACAGAATAATAACGAAGCTTGCTATTGACTGCTTATCCTTGGAGTCTCACAGTAGGTGCTTTTAACAACTTACTTGCTTCTGCATGCCAGAGAGCTGTTTAACTTCAATAAACAGTGTTGCGCTGTGTAAACGATGATGAATAGTTCGACTAAACACGCCAACAGTATCAATATCAAAAGGTTCTGACCAGCGCCAGTCTCTCTCGGTCTCGATACACACGTGCAGCCTGGGGGAGGCCTTCACAGTATGCGGCGTTCGCCAACTGTACGCATGCACGTGACGACTCATTAACAACAGTGACTCGTCTGTGTCCACCTGGTGGGAGGCGTGGAAAAAAAATACAATTTTAGCGCCTTTAGATTGCCTGTCGTCCAATCATATTAGTATACTTCAGAACGAGCATTTCTTCAGAACAGACACCTCTTTCGACATTCCACAATTCAACTCGTATTTCTACTCTACTGTAAGTAATGGCAGCAAGGTGGCAATAAAAAACATCAGCAACTTGTCACTTCCTAACCCATCACTGTCTCACCTGGCCAAATCTAAGAGCCTCGTTGGTGTCATTGCAGATAACGTAATGGTTCAAAATAACCCTCTGAGCTTCTTTCTGTCCAGTTTGACCCCAAGCTGTGGTGGACAGTGCGATTGTGTGGATCGTACTTTGACTGACATGTGCCAACACTGTTCCCGCCTCTAGACTAGCATCAATCCAAACAGGGGGAGCCGTAGGAGCATCTTTGGCTCTGGGAGGCATAGTCTACATAACGACAGCATCATATTTAAGACAAGCAAGAGAATCAACATAGCAGGTTGAAGTTAAAACGGAGATATGTTTAGGACAACATTTAAGAAGACAGACAATACCTTGGATAACATAGAACATTGAAATTATGGATTCTTTCCTTAGAAAACCTATTGACAGAGGAATTCATATGGAGGCAAGGATGAACGCGCAAATGGACAACTTATCAACCTTGAACTCACGTTACAAAGGTTGGTATAAACCTGATAACGAACAATCTCAATCTACGTATGATGCACGATCCTCGCAGTAGAGAGCGCTATTTATGCAATAGCGAAAATCAGACCTGAAAAAAATCAGGCCTGTACGGGATTCGAACCACTGACCTCTGCGATACTAGTGCAGTGCTCTACCAATTGAGCTACAGGTACAGGCCTGATTTTTTTCAGGTCTGATTTTCGCTATTGCATAAATAGCGCTCTCTACTGCGAGGATCGTGCATCATACGTATCTATAACCGCAGTTCACAATATATGAACTTCATATATTCAATCTCAATCTCTAGGTTGAAACTGACTCCTAAAACACCCATCAATGCTGAGAAGCATTGAAAAAGATCACTGAAAAGCGGTCAAACGCATTTTCCTCTTGAGTACGAAATCCTTTTGTCTCAACGATCCTAATCTTCTAAAATGTATCACCACAGCAACAACTGACTTACTCTTCCTACGTGATACAAGGCCACAGTAAGCCCCACATCAAAAGGGCTCAAGAGAGGCCTGTAGGTAAGGTCCCCATAATCCAGCACCTGTGCATTGCAGTTCCATTCTGCCTGAACTTGTAGGAACCCTCCCGTCCCTCCAACATCCTTGATGACACCACTAAGCCCCTCGACGGTCAGAAGTAAAAATTCTTGGTCCGTTGGAAGAAAGGGATCCATAGTAAACTGTGTTAGATACTGAGGAACAGCTGCAAACCCACGTGTGATATAGTTAATAAACAAGCTCCTTGGGTGAAAAGCCTCAAGTTGTCTTTAGTTAACCTGAATATAGAGGTGTTGAATAACGGTTGTAATGTTTCTTAAGAAACTGTGGTGCTGTGGCGGTGAGAGGTATGATTTACATGATCAATTGAGTTGATCATGTAAATGCGCCACCGTAAAGAGTTTCTAAAGGTGACGTTTCGGGCGTTAGCCCTTCGTCAGAGCGAATAGAGTGGAAGCGTTGGTTTGTGAACTAATTGGTCTAAGTATATGTTGTCCTCTTGGGCAAGACAATGAACTCTCACAATGCCCCTCTCCAGCCCATATTTGGCACCTTAAGCAAACCACGACGGCGACGGCAACGAGGACGTGAAACAACACAAAATCTAACTGGCGGAACAATAGCTCAGCACGTGCGTTTTCAACCTTTGTACAAAACAACTACGTGAAATCACCAAAATTTGCGTCGTCTGCGAACGGAAACCGCGACGGCAAATTGTTTTAATAGCCATTTGGAACTCAACGCTACTGTTATACGTTATGCTGAAGTTGAGGTGTGGCGCCATATGAGACGGTAAACACATGCAGCCATTTTCGAAATTCTAATTAAAAGTAGAAATTCATTTTTCAGTCGACGTCTTGCTTGGTGTCGTCGTTCTGACCGCTTATGGTCCCTTTTAACAAAGGCATCACGAGCTCGATATTTCTATTGCGTGATAGTTGATAAAGGCGAAGCCCGAATCAACCAAAAAAATTTCGGCTCCTTTTACAGTAAAAGAGCTGAGTAAATCACTGCTATATCAGAACTGAAAGAAAATTAGTTAAAAAGTTACCCTTTTTAAGGCAGTTTCCGAAAAATTGTAAATACTCTGCCAACAATTTCTGAACAGCTGTTTTCTTCCACACGATGGCTTTCTTTTCTATTTTTAACGGTCTAATAAAATGTCAACAGTTCTGATGCATACAGAGAAACAAAGAAGAGTTCAACAAGAGGTGTTCTTCCAGATTAGAGAAGGATTAAATTAAAACAGGAACAAATAAGCAGTGAACAAGCATTAATCTCCATCTTACCTCGGCCGATCGCGTGCAGGTGGTTAGTGAACTTGACTTGAAACATGCTGATATTCAGCTGAGCTGACAGAGCGGGATTAAGATCCGGCCTTACAACTGAGTTCACCTTGACAGAAGCTGCGAGTGAAGCGGCACTCAGTAGAGACCGGTACGGGGACGCATAGGAGGACGCTACGTCAAAATCACCGTCGTGGCTATGAAAAAAAAAAAAAACAAAAACAAAAAAAAACAAAAACAAAAACATCAAACGTTTGTCCACTAAAGTACTTGGTCCAAGAAGCAAAAAATGATCCCCTTGAACTTTTAATCGTGGACAAACCTGCTGAGATCGCTAAGGACTACATGCATGTAAACAGTATGTTTCAAGATTCGCTTCACTGCCGAGCCTTCAGCTATAATAAAAGCCGCCATTTTAGTGATGTGGGGGGTACTCACCTCTGAAAATTTGACGCACTAAGGGTGGAAAATGTAATGCAACGAAACCACCGAGGAGTGTTGTGCCATATCCAAAACAACCGCTACGAAAAAGACAAGCTACCAACAAGGTCTACAAAAACCAATTGGACAGACCTATCACCTTTGACATCTGGGTTTTTCTCTTCTACAAACCTTCGATCATCCGGGTATTCAATGTCCACCATTACATCTACTACCATCTGCCACTCAGCAGCGACAATTACTTCTGCGGGGTGGGCTGTAGATGGATCAGGGAGTGGAATGTAGGTAGCATTATTCTCCGACAGGGTGAACTCTTTGTAAGTAATGAAACATTTCTGAGTTGGATCCCAATACCGAAGAACACACGGTACCTGAGCACAAAATAAGTAAAATTAAGAACACATATACTGAGACTCGACTGACCCGTCACTGTTAATTTAACAACTAAAAAAATTACCCACAGGTAATAAAGGCACTGTAAAAGGTGTCATCCCAGGCATTTTGAATAAACTATCGTTTTGGCAGAAAATTAGATGCACCGATGATCATAAAAGCGAGGGAAAGTTTAATAATTGTTGATTCATAACAGCATTTTTTTTTTGAGATTCAAGAAGTTTCAATTATTTCACGAATTGTACTCAGGGATGATATCAGTAGCCTCTTAAGAATTTCGAGCGAAGGGGAACAGGTTCGCATTTGGAAGGGGAAGACACGCAGAACAACTGTGTGTCTTCTCTTGGAGGTGACATCCGCGCGCGCATGTCCAGCCTCATTCGAAAGAAACTGCGAGGAACCACACACAACAAGATTATTCCAAAATGCTTCATTAAATCACGTGATACCTGATACTCATCGCCCATGTTTAAAGTATTAACCAACACAGGTGTCGACAAAGGCAGGGGTACCATATCCACCGCGGACAATGCTCGGGGCTCGGGGTACCTCCAAGTCATTGCTGGAGGTCTTTCACTAAAGTCTGAGGTAAACACAACTTCCCACGGCTCTGGATGATGCAGCTCTTCCTCCCCTTTCACAGAACATACACACACAATTAGTTGAAACTTGTTATGAAGTACTCGGTCCTTTGAGGCGGCGTTCGGTCAGTTCTTGTCGCGCTTTGTTAAAAAAGGTTTTAGCTTCAAAAAAATCGCCTGGAAACTGCTCCTTAAAAATCAGTTAAACTTGATGGGTTGTTGATTACATCGCCATGTTTTGCCTCTTTAAATTCCAGGATTTCTTCACCAAATTCTCGGGCAATGCTCATATTTTTCTCTACTTTAACCAATAAAATAAAACGACCTTTTTTACGTCTGTAATGACCTGCCGAAAGCAGCTAATGGACTACAGGGTTTTAACAAAATTCTTTCACAAACTAGACACGCAAGATGTCATAACGTGAAAATTGTCCACAAATTTATTGCTAGATTACTAAGTATTGCAGAGGTGTACTTCAAAGAAAACGTTCGGCTGAACAAAACCTTGTAAAAACTGACACGCCGGTTCTTAACACAGGAGCAAAGAGGAAAAAATTGCAGAACAAAATTTGACTGGGTTTACTTGACAAGGACATTTGAGACAGTAAATTGTGAAGATTTTCTAGGGAATTAAACCTCAGTATGTTTCCTTAACAAGTGTTGTCAACAGGCTTTCTTGCTAACGAAAATAGCAACTTGTAGCAACGCCTCGTAAGTTTGACTGCTGGGGAACAAACCTCCTGATGTCAGAGCGGCTAGAGTCCCGGTCGATCAGTACATTCAAAATTTAAGAAAACATAAATAGCTCCTTTGAACACGTTTTACCAATTCCGTTTTCTCTTTTACCTGAAGTAGTTATGTATCTCAAGCAACCAGCTCGAATATCATCAAAAGACTCAAACAGAACAACACGCTCAGGTTTCTCGGGCGAAAAATCACTTTTATGAATACCAGGTTCCTCTGTTTCCTGCTTTACTGTGAATAGACTGGTAACCTTCTCAACGAGATCAGCGAGGAGACTGAGGCAAGTCACGTGCTCTTGTCCAACATCGACCTGTACGAATCGAGCTTCCATGTCTGCGTAAAGCTGAGGAACACCGCAGCCACTGACGAGGAAATCAAGTAAGGGAAGTTTAGCCCGGTTCAACCCTATCAGATAGGGAAGTTACCTTCTACGCACATCACTTCAAATGAAGGATACAAACTTGATTCAGAAAAAAACAATTTGTTGTTGTTGTTTTTTTGTTACACGTTCCCCCTTAGATCTGTCATTGAAGAAGAGCTGTAACAGGCTTCTGCAAGGAAACACATACCTCTGCACATATAGATCGCGACTGTGTGGCTCCCAAACCATCTCTACATCGAAAGTGCTGCTAAATGGATGAATCAGCGAACGGCATCTATCGTTAACTGAGGTAGATAAACCCATTCCATGTAACTGCAATCTTGTGTCTGCTCGTTTTAAATTTCCTTGTGTAAAAGAGAACAGAAACAAACACTAGCATAAGTAAGTGTTCGGAAAGAAACATTCAGTCAAATAGCCCATTTCCGAATTACGCTTGGCCTCTTTTTCAAAACGAGGCCTGGTGCTCAACCATTCTTGTGAAAATGAGTTTAATTTCCATGTGAATGAAAACTTATAATCACATGAAAGGATGAGCACCAGGACTCGTTTTGAAAATGAGGGCGAGGGTAATTCGGAAATGGGCTATTGCAAGGATTTTATTGAGGGATATAGAAATATAGAAAGTTAACCACAACAAAATTGATATTAATAGTCTTCTAGTATGGAAATTTTTTTTTTCACTCAGACTTTTGAAGCGAGAACCATGGAGCAGTATCTTAGATTAAGTTGAGAGATCATTCCTGGGCTACCATTGGTTCTCTGTTAGGTTCAATTCATTAGCCCTTTGACCCACTGAGAGTGACTAGCATCAAATTTTTGCTTACAATATCACCCCTGAATCACACTTTCAGGTCACCAGAATAAAGGAAAAGACCATTAACAAAAGAAGCTCTTGATTGTTAAACAAATTCTCCTCGTCAGCACCTTAGCGAATGTAGAGAGAACAGTATGGAGAATATGCATACTGATGTTAGGGCGTAAAGGGTTAACTGAGGACTGAAGATCTTTGCCGGATCAGCTGATGAACTGTTTTCCTGTTGACAGATTCATTGTGGAACAACCTAGCCACAAGCATTTGCTTAAACGAATACACACATGATCTACTCAATATTACCTTGCTGATCAGATTTGAGAGAGACTTTTGACTCGATTCCAAGCACACTGAGGAGCAGTTTGGGTTTGCCAGGAATTGGAGGAGCCTCCAGATGAATAAATATCCCCGAGGTACTCAAACAAAAGGACCTAAAGAAAAGGGTCCTTCCTGACGCTCTCATTTGGTTACCCTTGGCTTCTACATGTTCCTCGCTTGGAACGACAAGGCCGTTTAGGAATTCTTTAATTTGTTCAGCCATTTCAAGGTTTAAGTTCAGATGAAGAGAACGACCCAGTTCTACAAACACATCAGCTGAAATAAAACACGAGTTTAATTTTTATTAGAATCCGTGATTTTGAGTCACAACTAATTCGCGCTTTGTGGCCAAGAAAGATGTGGAATCTCTGTAGGCCTTCATGCATTCTCGTAGAAAGAATTCTTTTAAGTCTGCAAGAGAGTAAGCCATGTTTATTACCTTTGTCACAACGGAAATCTGTGATGTCTACAGTCACAAGTGATGGTAGAATACCACTGTGAGGATCGGGGAGACCAACTCCACTTTTAAGCCAATCCACAGGATAATCTGCTGGATCGGGCAGAGGCTTGAACACTGAAACAAAAGAAAAGCGATTGCCTTCGTTGGTTTTTCAAAGTATTTACAAACATCTACGCCAGCCCGTATTTACCAAGGTGCTTTTCCCTCTGTGTTGAACTTCCTTCATATCACTTTTTTTTGCATTGCATTGCATTGTTTTCAACCTTTTCAAAGAGCAGTTTTTTTTTTTTTTTTTTTTTTCTGGCAACTAACAAATTACTTTACCTTGAAAGTAACGTAAGAACGTCAGTATGGCCTTGAAGATGGGAACGCCTCAGAGAATTTGGTACAAAACAAACAGGGAGCATTGCGAAGAAAACCTGTTACCTTTTTCAGTAGAAGGCCCAGTGATGCTGCTGTCAAAACAGGAAACCTGAATCCTTGCATCACTAGACTGTGTGTTTACGATCAGAGCAGGATGAACCAGTTCAACTCGTAAAACAGGTTTGATTTGGATAGATTTGTCCCTAACCGGTAAATTTTGTTTAGAGGTAAAAACCCTCTCCGCAGGTTTATCATCCAGAAGAAATTGAGAGTAAACTGCTGCTGTCAGTCTCCTACCGGTAACAAAGACTTCCCACGGGACTTCACTTTCATTTCCAGGTGGTTTATAGGTGTTGGACGAGCCCTTTTCCAAAGGGAATTTTGAAGTTCCGCTCCTGTCTTTTCTAAATTTTGCAGACAGATTACTGCGTGCGCTTTCGAACCCGCTGTCGATTCTGTCAACACTTTGCAAAAAAACATGGTCTGGGCTCCGGGCTACAGAAGAGTCAGAAGGTGTCTTGGCGCTCTCATTTAAAGGCATTTTTAAAGAACCAGACAGGGTTTTCAGATTCTCCGCGGAAAGAGTCTGAAGCAGTTGAATCTGGTAAAAAAAAAGGATATTCAGCTCTAGGTTAGGTACTTAAAATCATGGAGATTGCCAAGACCGATTTTAAGACGGCTTAAGTACATAGATGACTTCACTTTAGGCAGAAGGTTCTAATAACCTCTGCAGATGGTTGCCAGTCGAATGCAATGTTGACCAATGTTAGTGCGGCTAGAGGACATGATTAGTCAGTTTTACCGTTTATTCATGGGACCTATTCCGTGTTCGTCCTTTGCACTGGGTCAGTTTCAATCGGTTGGAAAAATAGATTATTCAGTTCGTTTGTTCGTAGCCAAAAAAAAACAACAAACAAACGACTTCTGGAAAAACAGAACTATTTAACTTTACCGACAGATTGACACTGACCAATCACAACCGATAAACGCTAACTGAGCTGTATTATCCCGGAAAGACTGATTTGCCACGAAACAAACTTATCATATTCGACTGAAAAATATCCCCTCGACTCTGAAGATGACTTTCGTTTGGGTCGTCGGCAGAACTCTATTTACTCAATTAAATGCCGCAAATTTGAGGCAGCCGATTAATGCTGCATCCAACCACAAGAATGAAGTGGTTACTACGAGAATTAGAAGGGTAAAGATGAACAATTCCGATTCTATTTTGGCCAAAGAAAGAGTTATCGGAACTTGGCCATGTTTCTCTTTGAAATGATAATTGCAAAATTATCTACCTTAATTGTTGACAGTGATTTGAGATTTTATGATCTTGAAATACACGCCGCCCTTGAATAAACGCCGCATGGAAACGCTGGTAATAGGATAAACGCCTAAGCATTTAATCAATTAAATACAGTAGTCCAATTCAAGACCACATGTGCCTTAATGCTGAACGATATAACGATTGTTCTCCGGTCTACATCAATCACTATTAAATCTAATTCTTTTGGTGCAAAATATACCTGTGCCTTGTTAAGAAAACAATCTACATCTGTGACGAAATTGAACTCCAGCGACCAGCCACAGACTTGGATTCTTTCAGACACTGTTAATCT